AACCTGTTAGAATTCAAAAGGTTAACCTTTTGGGGGCTAAGGTACTCGGCCCCTAGGGTAACCATCCTAAGCCCCTCTTAAGCGTCGTTTGTCTCAGACACGTTCTAGGTAAAGCTCTGGGTACCCTTAAAACCTCAAACCCTAAACCTCCCTGAAGTGCAAAAACCCTAAACCCTTGAAATAAGGCGGGCCGTCGGACCTGCCCTTTCTGCTTCGGAGAAAGGGTCATGGCAGTCAAAACCCCATACCCTAAAACTTAAGCCCTACCCATAGGCCCCCAAGTAGTTCCTTTTTGGGATTACCTTATAGGATTCTACATATACACCACAAAAAGGAACTGCTTAGGGGCCTATGGGTAAACCGAGGTTGCCCGGCCTCTTCGTCGCCGTCCTTGTGGGGGACGGTTTGTGACAGCCCCGGCGAATTCGGCAGCCAGAGGGCTTCGGTAGAAACTCCAGGGATTTGTCGGGGCTATATGTACAATGTATAGACTATATAACATAATAACCAGACTAGAACGGATATTGCATGTTATCATCAACTAACTATTGCATGTATATATGTTCCAGAAAGCAGTAGGACCGAACACCTTGCACAGCGATCTTGATGTAGCACCGAAAATCGCCACGCAAGCCCACGAGCCGGCGGCCTAAACAATTACCTGTACTATTTTGGGAGTTCCTGAGTATATTTATACTATAAAGGACCCCAAAAGCCTTATTCTAATTATTAAGGCGCCCACATTACCTGCTTATAAAATGTGCCCATAAACCCTAAGATTCAGAACGTTTCATTACGGGCAGATCCGTTGGGTAAAGCTCTTCAGTTGATCACGTTTAGGTCCTGCGAGGATTCAAGGGCGAACCCGAAAAGCCTTGAAAAAAAGGGGCCTCAATAATTACCAATACTAGTCTGGGTTCCTTTATTACGATTCGGGCATAATATACCTCCAAAACCCTAGTCTATTTACTCAAGCCTGACTCGAAGAAAGGCCACAGCCCCTTCCCTATGTGCCTCTCATCTACGTGGCGGTGAAGGTCCGACGCCTCAGTGGTTTCAATTCGATCAAAATATAGCGAACTCTGAGCATTTTCTCGTAGCATCCGGACGAGGCCTCACTAATTGGAGTAAGACCTCGTCGTTGTGTTGTAGCAAAGCACCATGGGTGTTGCAAACCAGGTACTAGATGTCTGTCTCAGTTCTGCTTTAGCCATTTGCTGAGATGAGCCCAGACATGCGACATGCTACTTTTTTCGACGATGTGAGGCTGCCGTCCCTAGAGAGGTGGTGTTTGCCGTGTGTGACGGGAGCTGAGCTGATTCGCAGGGTGTCCCTTCGGGGCTGCGGTTTTTTAAGCTTTTAGGGCTTTACCCATAGGTCTAAGTAGTTCCTTTTTGGGATTACCTTATCGGATTCTAAATATAAACCATAAAAAGGAACTGCTTAGGGGCCTATAGGTAGGTCTCAGTTCGGGCTGCATTGCAGTTCAGGTTTCGGGGGTTTGCATGGGGTGTAGCGGTAGGAGGTTCTTGGTTTAGGTCAACCTTTGGGGATTTCGGACTTTAGGTTTGTCTTTTCTATATTCCCCTTGAGCACTTGGTTTATTGTGTTTGCTGCTGGTCTGGGTTGTGCTTTCTCTTGCTTGGCGCTTGCCAACAGAATGAGCTGTTGCTTCTTTCTAGGGGAAGCAGAGTAAGATAGAGGTCTACTCTACCCTTAGATTCCCTGTATAGCTTTCTCGTAGACAACACTCGATAAGTTGCTGAACTGTCAACAGTTTGGGGTTTGGGGCTGCGACGGATAAACAATGGAGGCCAGCCTTGAATATCGACTCTCAGTACTACGGTTGATGATATAAATCCTGCATTACCCATAATGAGGAATATAGCGTCGTTGCCATAGTTTAGGGTCCTAAGGTCATGCAGGATTTCTATCATCAACCGTATCATCCATTACGAGGACATCCGACTAAAAATCCCCCACCCAGGGAGCTGAACCCTGAGCCCGTCCGTTACACGTTAACCGCTAAGCCCCACACCTCATATACCCTGAGTTCAGGCACCCCTTGTTTGAAAGAGCTCATGTCTAAACCGAACTATTGAGCCAGCAGCACTCTCCGATGTACCCTCGAGTCTTCGAGACCCTAAGCCTTGAACCCTAAACCCCAAAAGCCAGAAGCCTCCAGCAGTGTCTGCTTGCATCTAGTCACCCTTCTTGTATCGTCTCCTAACTTTCCGAAGTTGCCAGTTGGCCTAAAGCCCTAAAGCTTGAACTGCCATCTCCTTAAGCTGCCCTCCAACCCCATATGTAAACGCCCATAGACCCCTGAACCTTGAGGCGATTGGCTCATACTGCGCTGCCCTTGCGGGGTACGGCGCAGGCGGACGCTGCTCGTAAGGTACATTTTCGGGGTTGGGGTTTAGATTTTGGGTTCCATGGAGAGTGCTCTGCATCAAGTCGTTTGAAGGTTGCAAGCTGCCTAGTTTCCTTGGAGGGCACGTTTCTTGGTAGAGCATGGGACCCAGAAGATTGCAAATTCAGTTCAGGATTTGTGTCATGCCCGTATGGGGCTTGGAAGAGACGCGTGGGGGGGGAATTTGAGGGATCAGAGCTTCTCGGATCCTGCTACCACTGTGGCCAAGCCTGGCATCTCTGATGAGAAACGCCTGTCGGTGTTAGGGTAGAGGCATATGGGGGTTTTCCGAAAATCGGGGACCCTAATATAGTACCCTAAATAGTAGGATCCTTATTATAAGGACCCCAAAATAAGGTACCCTAATTGTCGGAAAGTCCCATATATGCCTCGGGCTTCAGGGCTCGGTGTTGCGTTTCGGTCTGCGGGAGGTGTTTTCATGACCTTAGGGTCCCTTTTGGCTCCCCAATATGATTGTAACGGCACCTTATAAACAGGACCCCTAGCAGGGACCCGAATTTAGAGAACTGCCCATGTGGTATCATCTTGGTTTCTGTCAGTGGTGACGAGTTGTTCATGTTTTGTGTTTCCTTCCCGAACAATTCCAGGAATCTGAGGCTCCAAACCACAAAGTCTTACCTGCCAAGCCCTGAGTGCTAACCCCCGATTTGTTCGGTCTAACTCAAACCCTAAACCCTAAACCTTAGACCCATAGGCAGGAAGAAAAGCACACCTTCGGCCTAGAACTCGCCTTGCAATGCCCCTCCAAATCGAAGCCGACACCTGTTGAGGTTTGGAGTTGATGATCAGAGATTAGGTTTAGTGACCGTGATTAGGGTTCCGGGTTTAGGGGCTCAGATGTTAGGGGTCAGGATTTGGGGATTGGGGTATTGGGGTTGTTCTTGAGCCTGTATGAGCTTATGGGCGCAGTTTTCCAAACTTTTTGGAGTAATGGGCAGAAGCCGGGAGCTACAGTTTGGGGTGTAAGGACTTCGGCGTTTAGAGTCAATTTTTGTTTGTGGTAGTTTTGCTCTGTGCTTTGTTTTGTTCACAAGGCCTCCCGGTAGTACCTTTTTGCGCTTGATTTTGGGGTCCCCGTATGACAGCCGAATAGGAGGAAACAAAGGGAAAGGCGCTGTTGATGAACCTAGGGGTTTAGAGTTTGGGGTTTAGGGGTTTAGGAGTTTGGGGTTTAGTTCAGGGGAGTGTCGACCAGGCTTCAGCCTAATGAAAGTGGAGTGCTACCAGCACGCATTGCACAAGCTCTCCGCTGCTCAGCCCTGGCTGCCTTGCACCTACCTGGTGGGTTTTTGGGTATGGAGTTCGGGGCGCAGGGTTTTGGGGTTTTGGGCGTCTAGGAGTTCATGGGTTTCTGGGTCTAGGGTCTGAGCTAGGTGTTGAGTAGATGAATGTCGGAGACTGGGTGTAGTAAGTACGGCGGAGTTGCAAGCCAGCAATCAAGATTGTCGTTGTTTAGCCTTTAGGGTCTAGGGCAACGTTTCAGATGTTGTTGGCCTAGACACCTACTAACATTCCCAAGGATCTAAGTACCAAACGCGGTTATGCTGGCCCTAAGAGCATCTTCCATAATATGGTAGTTCTCTAAATTAGGGTCCCTCTTTAGGTCCCCAGTATAGTACGGCACCCTAATTCGAAAACTACCCATATTCGTACTTGAGCCCCCCTTTGGGCGTAAAGCCCCTCCGGTCTCTGACACCGATCGAACCTATGGTAAAATCCGAAGGGTAAGCCAGTTCCCTAAACCTCAATTTTTGGTGTTAGGACCGTAGGAGGGCATGTCCCATGTAACACCGTGGGAACCGCAACTTCGTCTGAGAAGTTCAAGACCCTAAAACCCCAAGACGTAATCCGGGTTTAGAGTATGGGGGCCTGGAGAATGAGTCATACCATTCAGCTCGGATTGCCTGATATGGTTACCGAAACCCACCCCAATTGGTCGGGCTTCTGCATTAACCTTCTGTGGGATGTTGAAGTCGATGGGTGGACGGCTATTTTTGTGGTCGCATTTGGACTGGTATTTGAGGGCCTGTGGGCTTACTTCGACCAGTTCCAGGAAGTTAACGAAGTTAACGATTTGCGATAGTGTGGTTCCGGGTATGGCATTCGGGGCTTCTACCTGCCATCTTCGGGTGGAAAACTAGGACTTATGTAGGATTAGGCTTTATGCTCTCGGCAACACAGCATACAAGCTCCTTGAGACCGTCCAACTAAACCAACCAGATCGTGGTGAACTAGGGCTTAGAGGTTTCTGCCGTGTTCTACCGAGGTGTTGCTTGCATGGGCGTCTATTGGCGCAAGGTCAGATAGTGGCCGAAGTGTCTGCCAACAGCTTGTAGTTTTCCAGGTCTCAAAGCTCTTGAGACAGAGGCGACAACTCGATTGGAACAGTTTGTGCCTTGGGGCCTGCTACAGCAGCCTCAATCCTCGGTCATAGTCTCGTGGTACACACTGGATCGTGGTTAATCATAATGTGTTAAAATCTATTGGCTGGCCTTAGGGTATTGGTGAGGTACTCTGTATTCGGTAATGGCCCTGCGCCAAAGCATCCAAGCCTTGACTGATAGCCATGAGTCTGGCACAGCCAGAGCGGGATGTCGCCATGGAAAGCACGCAGAACACAGCGCTTCTGATTTGCATTCCGGTGCTGCAGGCAGACCTTCTCTCCGGCCTGGTTTGCCTTCAAGTAGAGAGCCTAAACCTTCAGTATAGATCTTGATTTGAAAGATACATAGGTATATAGACGTGTGTATATATATATGTATGTATGTATGTATGTATGTATGTATGTATGTATGTATGTATATATATATATGAGATAAATGTACGAAATATGTAAGCTCGGTGCCCGAGAGAAGAGCAGCCCAGTCCTGTATATCAAGGATCCCATGATCTTAAATTTGGGATTTAGGGTTTCGGGTTTAGGTTCTAGGGTCCATGCTAAACTATGCAATATGAGACTTTCCGAAAATTAGGGTACCTTAAATTGGGGTCCTTAGAATAAGGATCCGACTATTTAGGGTACTATATTAGGGTCCCCTATTTTCGGAACCCCCCCGTGTTTCTCCGAAGCCCCCCAGCTGCCAGTCTCCCATGGTTGAGAATTCGGATTCCGAGTATTCCGACTGTTGGTGCCTTCTTTTTCTTCATCGATACAGGGTTTCTAGGGTTTCCAGGGTTTTAGGATTTATAGTGTTCAGGGCATAATGGCATTGGGTAGCTTTTCGTGCAGGCATCAAGCTTTGTGACTAGGGTCGTGGCCTTGACTTTGAGGTGCTTGATTGCAGTGACTGGTTGCGGATTGAAGGTTTAGGGTTTCGGGTCTAGCATCTAAGACGGCTTGGTTTAGAAACTCAGACCTCGTTTGAGAACTCCAAACAGCAATAGCCCGGAACCCGCAATCCGAAAATCGGAGCTCCAACCCCTCGAACCGAACAGCTGCAAGGAAAGCAGCCGATAAGATCCCTGTGCCAGGCCCTGACCGCCGCAAAAGTTTTGTTTGCTGTCGGCAGGTGCGTGAGCTCAGCTTTCAGGGTGTCGGATGGTTTGAGTTGTTGTTTAGGGCGTTTGGCTTGTGGCTTTGCAGGGGTGGAGTCTTACTTCTTAGGATTTAGGGTTTAGGGACTTAGTTCTTGTTATTCAGTGTTTTGGGGTTTCAGTCTGGTTCAGGGTTAGGATTGTTTGTGTTTGTGGGTTTCCCGAAGGCCGATAGGCGTCGGGCGTCGCTGGTTTGACGGCTGGTTTCCAGCTTTTTGGCGTAGGATTGAGGGCTGAGGGTGCCTCGCAGAACTGCTGTACACTGTACAACCCTGATACAACCCTTACACCAACCCACCCTAAACCCTTAAAGCCTCAATTCCTAAACCCCCAAACCCGAACTGCTAAACCTGTAAACACCCTAAGCCCTCAACCCTAAACCCTAAACCCTAAACCTTATAAACCCTCAACCCTAAGCCTTCAACCCAGGTATATCAGACGGAGCTGGGATGGACGGCCGTTGCGGCTTTGCCGGGCTTGTGGCTCTTGGCTAGCATTGCATCTGGGCGCCTTGGGCTGACAACAGCCAGGATTTATAGTCTTTTTCCTAAATATGCAGGGTTTGGGGTCTAAGGTTTTGGGTTTANNCGGGGGGGGGGGGGGGGGCTCCTAGTTGTCTTACATGTGTCCTTAAAGTTCGTTTTGGGGTCTTGAAGTGGCTTTACGGCTCAGGCTTTGATGGTGGGCTCCGCGGACCCAAAGGGGTACCTTCCCGAATCATGATATTGATTCCTAACACACAAGCACAGTCTACTATATGAGTACTTAGGACCCTTTGGGG